CCCCGACCAAACGCAGGCAGCGCGCGAGCACATCCACAGTTTGATTCTAACACTTAGGGCAATCCAGGATGTGCTGGCACGTGCTTGCGCATCCTGGGCTGAAGATTGAAGATTCTCGGACAGCTTTTTTTGTGGAATTCTTCAACTATGTACTTAAGTCAATCCGCACCCTGAATTGCCTTCAGCACAGATTTGAAGATTCCCAGAAAGAATTAATCTTCAATCTGCAATCCTGGATGTGCTAGCACGTGCTAGCACATCCAGGATTGCACTACATACCGATGCTAGACTGTAAGCCAAAAAAAGGCGTGCGTTTTTAGAGCCTCATTTTGGAAGCTGGAATTTGTGTTTACATGTATTCTTGCAGCCAAAAGTCAATTTCTGGCCCAAAACCTGAGTTTTCCAAGCGGGGGTGCCATCTACATATATATGTATATACACATGAATTTTATTGCTAGTACATACTACACATTATAGCAAAATAATCTGTATATATATATAGCACATGGTACAAGTTTGTATGTATGTATGTTGGTAGACATGGATATCTAACATAATAGACATATTTATATAACATATGGTGTGTACATATATACACATATGAGATAGTTTACACAAGATATATTTAACATACAACAAATGTGGTGTACTACGTATGAACTGTTTATCAGCACAGAATTTGTTACTGTATCATATACAGCACCTTCAATATGTTCATAATACCTACACTATGCTGTTGGTTGTGTTTTATTCTACAAACACATGTATAATAGATATATGTATATATACATGCCCTCATGTAGAACACACACCATCGTATATATACTATCTAAAACACATCTGACAAATAATGTACAATATGTATAAAATGTAATAAGTGGTATACACAGTTATACATATAGATATAACAATGTCTAGTGCATGCTGTATAATGTCATATTGTTTGGAGCCGCGCCGGGCACAGGGGTACAAGACAACAATTCTGTGAGTGTTGGGTTGGTTTGATTCATTTGAAGAAACTTCAGAGATCGGGGCGAAGATGCTGGGTTGATATAGCACGCAGACACAGAAGAGAGGCCGTTGCTGTACACTTTTGCAATCTTAGCTTGTACTTTCCAATGCTGATTCAGGGGGCCATGCCCCTAACTCCTTGATTATCAGCCTCCATCCTCTCTTTTAGCCACTTGTTAGCACCTTAAATTATATGAAACAAACTTGCCAGACCAAGGACGCCATTGGGCCTGGAGTCGGCTTTCGACATTTGGCGCGAGGCTGGAAAGCTTCTTGATCCCAGAGTCCAAATACCTTGAGAATGGTTTTTAAGGGGCTACAATGGATGAATGTAATTTTGTTCTTGAGGAGAATTGGCGTATTTGGATCAGCGTTGTGGAATGCTGCCCTGAGCTCGTGAAAAGGGCATGCCGGTGGCCCAAATTCTAGGAAGTCTGCATTGGAACCTTTTTCCAGATTGCCTCTTTAAGCGAAAGCAATCCCGAGTATGTGTGTATGTCTTATTCTTGCGGGTGTGTTCGCGCATGCAACCAGTCTAAGCGCAAAATTCGGCTACTTGTCCGAATGCTGATCCACTCCACTTGTTCAATCATGTCACTTGTCAGGTCAATACTACTTTGGATCCTTAGGTTGGAAAGCTTGCACCTTGGATCTTCCATGGCCACCCTAAAAGTGTGCCTCTGTAAAGAAGATTGAAACTAAACCACAGGGCCGCCAGGGCCTTGCAAGCTTTGAACTCTTCGTGGGGGTTCTGCTTCGCCAGGCGACGAAAGAGGCAAGGCGTCAGCGCCAGGCGGGCGGGTACACTGCGACTCTGGTGGTTTCTCAGCATCCCCTGTCTTTTGTGATGGGCGTGGCTCAAAATTAAAGTCCCAGAGGACTGCAGCAATTTGTTGTTTTGTTGCGCGGCAAGCCTGTTTGCATGATTCGATTGGCATACCCTGTTTAAGCTTACATGAAAGTCAAAGCACCACTGGATGAGTCCATCGCATGTTGATCGTCCCAAGCAATGAAGTGCGTTACTTCCGGCACTAATAGAGATGCTAGTTGACCGCATCACAGCTGAGCACGCGCCCACACACACATACACACAGCCACACACACACGGACACCCACGCAGACCAACGCACGCGCACCACCCACGCATGCACGCACGCAACTTCCCAAAACCTTCCTTCGAACCCCATGGGCGCCCAAGGTGGGCCCCTGGGAAGCTGCGCCCACGCGAACAGAGGGAAGCCGAGCAGCCCCTGTTTGACAAAATGATAATATTTGTCATACACAACCAAGTTCCCCTCTATCGGTTCGTTTGGTGTTGAAGTAAGTTCCCACCAACCTCATTCTACCTGGGAAACGCGGCATGGCTACAATGAATCTGCCAAGAACTGAGCCGCTTTTAAGGTGTCCGGTCAGTTTCGTTTACCATGGATTCCAACAGTTGTTTGTTCCTAATGCTTTTCCAGGGTTGTGTTTTGCTGGTATTTGTTTTACCAGTATGTTTATGTACGCGCAACGATACTACCAACCGAAGCTCGCAAAAAAGCGAGATCAGAATAACCAGTGACTTGCCGGGCTGTCAAACATATATTCGTGTTTTGAACCCGGATGCCGCATTGTGCCACCTTTCAAAGGAGGGCCAGTAAATTTCACCGCAAGTCGATGGCCCATCTTTGTTCCGAAGAAGGTGGAAGCTGTTTTGCAGTCGGACCTGTGTTTATCAAGTATCCGTCAGGCTGGGGTCCCCAAGATCCCGCGGAGTCGATGCCAAAAGAGGCTTCCGTTTGGAACTTGCTTCCCGCATGCGATGCTCGCATGTTGGCTTCCCCCTTGTTCGATTCAACTGACTTCTTGCCTGATGTCAGCCAAAGCCAAACCGGGGCAATTGGCCGCTGACTGGCCGTCGACGATTGCACCCCCAGGCTTCCCCGAGAGTGCCCGCAATCCGCATAGCATTACCCTTCGCCTTCGGAACCCCAGCCAGCACACTAGCACGTGAGCTGCAAACTCGTGACTTTATGTAAGGGTCCAAGAGCAATCATGCCTTTGTGTTTGAGCGCGTTTCCGGGGGGGGGGGTAAACTATTGGCAGTCCTTTTCTTTTGCGGGCGGTATGAAGGATGAGACATGACAAATATGCATTGCCGAAGTTGACGCTATTTGATTTGCTGGCAAAATGGAGACTTTTGAATGGCATTCTAGCCTTTGAGCAGGAGTATAGTTGTTGCGAACAGGGGCTCGCTGTCTTTTCTGCACCTTAAGCATTATTTTGCCTTGCTTCAGTTTGTGGATTAGTTATGCTTTGAAGCGCACACCTTGGAAGATATCGGCTGCAATCCAAACCGAGTTCTTGGGGATGAAGTTTTCCTTGCCCAGGGCGTGTGGCAGCTTGGGCTGCACTTTGCCGCCGCACAATGGAGTTTGCTGTCAGTGAAGCGAAGGACAAGTGATCTCTGTGTGATGTTTATTCAAGCCCGGATTTGAATGGTTGCCGCATGTTGCCACATGTCATTTCCGAAAGACTTCAAGCCATGCAGGCGTGCAGATGCGCGTTACCGAGTGCACCCGTGTCCGCATCGAGTCTGCTCAGGTCTTGGATCTGCAAGCGAGTAAGGGCAAGATAGCGGAGGACGGATGCAGAAGCCATCCCCGTGGACCAATGTGGATGGACAAGGTACACCAGTTGGTAGGTGGTTTATCCCAGCATTCATAGGGTCTCATCTAACTGGTGCAGGATTTTGTCCATCCGGAGCTTGGGGATCTTCCCAAGAGGAAGTCATTCCAAGACCCTAAGGTTGTCAGCTTCCATGATTGCTGGAGAGAGCGTAGTCAGCAATTGTTCTTTTGGTTCTTGGCGGGTTTCAAGTATCTCATTGAAAATCTATTCGTGTCGAGAAGTTGTGAAAAAATGTGCAGCTTTAGGTTTACAGGTTGACCCGATGGCCAGAACCAAGCGCATGCTTTTTGGGTTGGGGGCGGAAGCTGGCATGACGCAATCAAGTTTGTTGACATTTGTTGACCCCAAACCTTGAGAGTGCTCCGCTGCAGGGCAAGGGCAGGGGAAGAAGCGTCAATTCTCATTCGAAGGCTACGGTAAAACAACTGCTTCACAGTGGTTTACGTCATGTCAGACTCGGAAGTACCTCAAGCGTTTGGCTTGCCTGGTGCAGGCAAAAACGAACCTCCCGACTCGACGTAAAGTTTTCCGCGCAGCGCCTCAATTTGGCGCGGGCTTTCGGCCAAGCTGGAGCAAACACTCCGTGTGCATCGGACACGTCAGCCTCGGCCAATGAGCTTTGACGCGCATTCCTGGAATGTGGCAAAATGCCCTGGTGCCCGGCATGATGTGGTCAGTAGAATCCACTCCCACATCTTGCCACGGGAATGGTGGCAACTCTCACCCTGGTCTTGCCTTTGGGGGTGCATTTCATATTTCGGTCGGGCGCGACCTTCTGCCGAAACGTCAGGCAGGCAGGTGCAGGCCTGGCCTGGTATTTGGACCCACGGGTTTTGGGGATTGATCCGGATCTGTGTTTGTTTTGGTTGTTTTGGTTGTTGTTGTTTGTTTCGTTCCTGAAAATGAGAGCCATATCATACTTGCAGCTTCAGAACAGATTCAATTGATCTTTGATCTTGATCGCATGCCTTACTCGAGAAGGGCAGCTCTTTTTGCAGTAGTCTTTGCAATTCGAGACAATGCTCATATAGTGAGCTTCTTGTATTCTGAGGTTCTTTCGTGCATCAAGTCATCAGCGAAGCTGATGACTGTTGAAAGCGTTTGCAAGACCCAGCCGGAGAGGCTGCAAATCGGAGAACAAAAGGCGGCTCCAAACTTTGCCCTTGGGAAAATGAAGCCGACGTCAAACCCATCCCAGGATAGATAGGTGAAAATTATTGTGGACAATTCGGGCAATGGCAGGCAATGCGGTGTGCCGAAAGGGACTTGCGACCGGCCCGACCGGCTCATGCTTTTAGTGGCGCTGCGGACCTGAGGTGGAAACCACAGTTGTTTTTCCCGAGGCGCGGGGGCGTGTTTTTGTTTTGTTTTTGGGAGGCGGGGGGGGTGGGGTTGGGCCTAATTATCTGAAGTATTCGATGTGCCATCCGAGCGAATTCACTCCTTCTTTGCCTCAAAGCGAGCATTTGCTTGGGTGTCTATCTTTTTTCGTGGTGCTTCTTATTTTTGCGATCTCCTTGGTAGCTGTTCGGCATCACAGCTTTGGTTTGGGGTCTTGGCTAATCAAAAGCCCAGCCTCACTCAGCAAACCCGAAGCAAACGCTACCAATCCCACACCTAAACTGGTACCAGACCAACGCCGCACCAATTCTGCGTCAACCTCAAATCGGCCCCAAAACAAGGCCAATGCCATCTTAAACCCAGCCTAAGCCACCATACGCAAGCGCAACAGTATATATCGTAAACGTCTCATAAGCCAGATCTGAGCAACCTACACCCTCCAAAGCCGCCCTGCTCCCGAAGCAATCTCAAAGCCACCTTCAGCCAGCTCTACACCCTGTACCTTTCACAAAGCAGAAACCTACTCCCAAGTCACCGGACGCCAGCTTCACCCGAAACGAGAGCCTGACCGGCCAATCCCAGAAGGATGGACCACAATGGATCCGAGCCCGAAGCGTGGAACGCTTTGAGATTAGTTCGGAAGGCTTAACGTTTTAACGTTCGAAGATGCTTGCCTTGTGCCGGCAGCTTTGGAGAAACGGGTCCTGTGCAGTTGGTGTGAGCCCGGTGAGCTCGTTTTTCGGGGGCTGGCCGGAAACGGAAGCAAACTTTGGCCGGCGAAAGCTTACACTAGTTGAGTCAGATCCTCTGGTTAGAAGCATGTTCACAGGGTTTTCTTGTATGTCCTGCTTTGGTGGTTTTGAATACCTTTCGAGCCAATTCAAGGTGAGTTCCCCTGTGGGATGATGTTTGAGTCAGAGGGGACGCTAAGATTAGGGAGCCCTGCAGAAACATGTTCAGCGAGAGTCCGCTTAGACGCTGCTCGAGTAGTTCTGCATAGCATCACATTCTGGAGGCTTAGACAGTTGGGTAAAAATACATGGCACAATTCTTTTACTTGGGTTACGCCATCCCCCCTTATAAAGGGAATTGTGCCATATACTTTCACAAGCTTGTGGATAGATGTGTTTCCACTGAAAAGAGCCGACTCTGACCGCTCAGGGGTACTAACTGCTCTGCGAGGATCTGGTCAATGGAGCCCCTCCAAACCACCTTCTTCTAGAAACGGTTGGATGCACGTTTTGTGGCTTGCAGCCGTCCTTCTCCCTAAGTTAGTGTTTTTTTTGCTTTGCTATTGGTATATACTCTTTCAATATCCCGCAAAGTTGAATCCACAGATTCTTGCTAGTCTTCGTGCACACTGAAGATAACAGAATGAGGGGTTTTTGAGCTTACTTTTGGGTCCGGTGGTTTCCTGCCTTTAAACCACCTTTGAATCGGCTTGAAGGATATCTTACTATGGACCTGGCTGTCAGTGTTCTCCGGCAGCGAAACTCATCAGACGCACGTCTTCGCGCGACTCTTCGGCCCGGAGCTGGGTGCGTGGCTGGAGGAGCATCACCGCGATGCCAGGTTTCCCGAAACGACAGACCCCCGTTGTGAAACTTTGGTTGACAGTTGACGCGCAACCAAAGGGAATTTTGGTGGGAGGGTCCTTTGGTATTTTTTGAGAATCATTTGCAAGGGCAAAGATGTACCATTCAGTACCTGAGGTGCCAGCTTAGGGAAGCTTCTGAAGGTCATTCCCGTGATGTATTTTCTGACTCAAGTCCCATTGTCTCGTGGCCGTCACCGCCTCTGCCGGTGACAGGGAACATGAACATGTGGGCTTTGCAGGTTAGGCACCTGGCAGAGCGCCGAACGCCCATCAGAGCTGAATTGCATTTCGTAGGACTCCCGAAAAATAGGATACTGGCAAAAACACCCCTCCAATTGCAGATTGATTTGGGCTTGTCTCCCAAATCGCGAGACAAAAAGAAGCTCTCCACCGGTATCAAGCTTCAAGCCAGGAGCAATTTATCGCGCGTGGTGCGAAGCTCATCAAAGGCGAGGGGAGAGCTTGAACTGAAGGCAATTGCAAAGTTGCGTTCCTTGGCTACCCGGAGAAAGGAAAATAGGCACTGGCGCATCTCAGTTGCAAAAGAGCCGTTCAGATGTTTGGGTTGATCCGAAATGCACTTTGTAGCTTGATTGTTGTATGATTGCGACTTCCGCCAAGAAGCTTGTTGAGCGATGGAGACGGGACAGTTTTGTGCAAGCTGCCTCAGGCTTTCAGAAGGAGCATATGTCCTACCATGCCTTGCGCCACCTGTCTGAGCCAGTATACTTCTGTTTTTAGAACAAACTTCATCCTACTATCCTGGACGTCTCACTTTGAGTGGACCCTCAATGGGTTGCAACAAACGGGCAGCTGGCGCCAAAAACCAATCATGCCTAGAACCAATTCGTTCAGTGTCACCCAACACTTGCCCTGTGCGAAGTGACAGAATCGTTTGTTTTACGGAATTGCAGGCTTGGGGTGGGGGTCGGACTGCCCGGGGTTTGCTGAGGGGGCTGTCTGAAAGCTTCGACATCTCCCTTTCGTTGGGCTCACGGGTCCAAGTGCCCATTTTGATGACCCGTGTTGCCAGGGGACACCGTCACAGAGTTCACCGGCGAGGGGGCCCTCGCCGGCGCCCAGCTAAAGCAAGAACCTTAGAGGCAGACCCGCCTTCCCGAAATGGATGTCAACATTGCGGACCCCTAAAATGGTAGGATTGCTTGAAGTTACAGAGAGACTACTCCGCTCCCCCCAAATACAACGCCTCCCCGCAAACACAAACACCTGGAACAAGTAGGTCGTTTTATTCGGGATCCGTCCTAGGTTTGGGGTGTTCAGTCTTGTGCTTTTGTTCACTTCTGGTGGGGGAGTCCTTGGAGGCCATGAACAAGTGCTGCACAGGGAGGGGGCCGGGGACAGGGAAGAAACGAAGAAAGGTCTTGTTCAGAACTCCGCCCTTTAAGGGCCCAAAGCAGCGAACGGATGCTTATCGTTAAGTAAAGAATTTGCAAGGCAGCCGCAGCCAGTTTTTGTTCCAAAAGTAAGTAGTGCTTGCGGACAGGGCAGCGGGTTCCCGAATATAAGACTGAAAGGGACGTGAGAGAGACCGCTAGTTTGGTATGGGTTTCAAATTGGGCTGCTCTAATTTAGTATTGGGCGCGACCCTTTGCGGAGATCAGGGTGGTCGACGCGCAAAAACTGAGACTGTTTTATGCTTTTTCATTTGCGCGCAAACTTCTGCAGAGATTGGTGGTCAACGTGCAGAAACTAGGGACTTTTGCGAATTTTCAACATGCCCGCGCGACCCTCTTCGCAGATCGGCGTGATCCAGGTTAACAAATTCGAGGAATTTGCTCTGCGCAGATCGGCTTGGTCGATGTGCACAAGGATGCGGCGCAAAAATATTGCACTCAGTAACTTCTAGGGAGATAGCTTCGCAGAGAAACATTGCGACGTACTTGCGCTGGAATTATGCGCCAAGAGCTCGCCCGGAGAGACTTGCATTGAGAAGCGGCCTCTTTTGGTTCCCTTAAAGCCAAGATGAAAAGGGTAGCTTCAAAACACAAACACACCCACCCACCCACCCACCCACCCACCCACCCACCCAAACAACCAACCAACCAACCAACCAACCAACCAACCAACCAACCAACCCAACCCAACCCAACCCAACCCAACCCAACCCAACCCAACCCACCCACCCGCCTATACCCCCCAAACACACGAGCATACAAACGCACACAAGCACACACAAACACAAACACAAACACAAACACAAACAATCAAACGCACAAGCAATCAAACACAAGCACCCAAGCAATCAAACACACAAGCACACAAGCACCCACGCACACAAACACGCAAAACGCTCGCAAAATGCACGCAAACACACGCAAACGCACACACACGCGCACGCGCACACACACACACACACAACCAGACACACACACACACACACACACACAAAAACACAGACAGACACACACACAGACACACACACACACACACACCCACACACAGACAGACGCACACAAACACACACACCCACCCACCCACCCACCCACCCACCCACCCACCCACCCACCCACCCACCCACCCACCCACCCACCCACCCACCCACCCACCCACGCACGCACGCACGCACGCACGCACGCACGCACGCACGCACGCACGCCCGCACGCACGCACGCACGCACGCACGCACGCACGCACGCACGCACGCACGCACGCACGCACGCACGCACGCACGCACGCACGCACGCACGCACGCACACCCACACCCACCCACACACCACACCCCACACGCCCACGCGCCCACGCGCCCACGCGCCCACGCGCCCACGCGCCCACACGCACACGCACACGCACACGCACACGCACACGCACACGCACACGCACACGCACACGCACACGCACACGCACACGCACACGCACACGCACACGCCCACGCCAGCGCGCACGCGCACGCGCACGCGCGCGCGCGCGCACACACACACACACACTTGTGAAATCCCCCCTCTCTCGGTCCTTGTTGTGTCTCATTTCTTCTGCGAGGGTCAGGATCAAGCCCAGTGGGCACACATGCACTTTAATTGATTGAGTGGAGTTTCGTCATCCTTGGGCCTTACTCGTCAGGGCCACAGACTAAACCCAAGGATGGCTGTGGCCTACTCCACATACTTGGAAAAGAAATGGAGAGTCCGGATAGCCGGCGCGGCACTTCTTTCGCCATGGACATTGCAGCCTGCGCAGAACCCAAAGGCTCCAAACCCTGTGGCCTGTACAGAGCCAGACGCGCCGCAGTCACCGCGGCTTGCAAAGAGAATCGTTGCAAAAGGGCCAAAGGGATCTTGCGCAAGAACAAGAAAACAACAAAAAGAACGAACAGATCCGAGATGCTCCACTAACGCCGGGGCCCCGGCCGGGTATTTGAATCACCCGCGGGCCAGAAAAACCGACGGTTTGCTGCAGGTCTAAATCGCAAATTGCAACGACGGCCTAGGCAGAAAAAATACATCGGGGGGATTACGGCATCTCAGACCCAATGGGCATGCTGGTTTCTGAGGTGATAGACATCGCTGGCAGTCTCCGTTGTGCTTCACAGCACCAACCATAAAATGGCAACTGAGTGGGAAGACTCCCAAAGCTTGGCGGAACAAAGGCAAGTTCCAAACAAACCTGGGGACCTCAAGGGTCAAATCTGACATCTGAGGGTCAACTGAATGACCAATGCTGCGCGCGAGCCGATGGCAAGGCTCAATCAAACACAGTAGGCTATCCTACCGCAGGCAGCCCGTTAAACGAACTACTGCCTGGATCACACTTGTGAAATCCCCCCTCTCTCGGTCCTTGTTGTGTCTCATTTCTTCTGCGAGGGTCAGGATCAAGCCCAGTGGGCACACATGCACTTTAATTGATTGAGTGGAGTTTCGTCATCCTTGGGCCCTACTCGTCAGGGCCACAGACTAGACCCAAGGATGGCTGTGGCCTACTCCACATACTTGGAAAAGAAATGGAGAGTCCGGATAGCCGGCACCACCTCGACAATTTGCAAAGACTCCCAGCTTGCGAGTCTGACAAAGAACTCAGATCAGCCCTTGGCAACAGGGATGGACACACACACACACACACACACACACACACACACACACACACACACACACACACACACACACACACACACACACACACACACACACACACACACACACACACACACACACACACACACACACACACACACACACACACACACAGACACAAGACA